CATCTACAACAACAATAATAATTACTCAATTAATTAATTATCATACCATTTGATATAGTGTCTTATCATGTAATTAAGACATCTCAAAGCGTTTCACAGGCTGTACTGTGAAGTGTAGTGACTGCGTATTCTGTGAGTGAGCTAATTTTCACACAGCAGTGTCCCACAAACAGCCATGAAGTGAGTGGCCAATTTGACTGGAGTGTTTGTTATCCAGGATGCTGGGAGAGGGCAATTCCCTTCTCTTTTCATTATGGGATCCTTAACATCCACCTGAACAGGTATAGATGGGTATCGAACAGTGTCTCTGACTATGTGGGGCTCTCTCTCCCTCTCTCTCCCCAGAGCTGTGCTGGAGCATCAGCCTGGACTGTGAGTCCCCGACCTGGGGGCTCGAACCCACAACCCGAAAGGCGGGGGCTGAGCCAGTGTGAGACACAGAGCTGTTGCTCTGGGAACACATGAGCCTCTGCCTCAGGAAGTTGTACAACTGGTCGTTTAGCCACAATCTCTCACAGAGTCAGGATTTCAGCAATGGCTCACAGTAAATAATGGCTCCGCAACAACAACAGCAACAAGATTACATTTGTACAGCGCCTTTCACGTCGGGAGGAGGTCCCAAGGCGCTGGACAGAGTACAGCATTTCCGACCCGAGCTGGGGTCGGGGGGGAAGGGGTGTGGCCGATGGCATGGTCGAAGAGGAGGGTCTTGAGACGGCACTTGAAGGAGGCTAAGAAGGGGGTGAAGCGGAGTGACTGGGGGATGGAATTCCAGAGGTTGGGGCAGAGTGGCTGAAGGCCCTCCCACCAATAGTGGGCGGGTGGGTCGGGGGACGTGGAGCAGCCGGAGCCGCTCAGTGGAGGAAGCGGGCGGGTTGGTAGGGGGTTTGGAGGTCGCAGAGGTAGGGGGGTGAAGCCATGGAGGGCTTTGTAGGTGAGGACCAGGATCCTGAACTGGATCCTCTGAAGGACAGAGAGCTAATGGAGTCGGGCGAGAGTGGGGAGATGGGGTTTTGGAGAGGACACAAACCACCATCTCCCCATCACGTCTCAGCCACTCTCGCTGCCACTGCCTGGTCAGGAGGTCCTGGGTCAAACTCCACGCTGGTTAGACTCCGGCAGTTACCCCAACGCACTGCTTCTATACAATCATAGAATTATACAACACAGAAGGAGGCCAATCGGCCCATGTGAAGCGCTTTGGGATGACCTCCCAACGTGAAAAGCGCTATATCAAATGCAAGGATTATTATTATTATTATTGGGCAAGTTTCCTTACTCCACACGCCTGATAGTAATCCCTCAAGAAAAAAAACAATAATGAAATTGTTCACTTCAATCCACGACTGTTTGTGGGACATTGCTGTGCACAATTGGCTGCCGCGTTCGCCCACAAATATACAGTCAATTCACTTTACAGTATATTCTGTGAAGCGCTTTGAGACTTCGAGAAGATGTGAAAAGCGCTATATCAAATGCAATGATTATTATTATTATTCCACCACTCTCTCCCAATAGATCTGCAAACCTGTTCTCCCAATTAATTATCCACTCTACTCTATATGTATCCGGATGTCACCCAACTCTACCTCTCTGCCCCCACCCTCAACTCCAGGACCACTGCTGTCCTGACAGACTGTCTGTCGGACATCAAGTCCTGGATGAGGGCAAACTTCCTACAGTTGAATGTGAACAAGACTGAGGCCCTCCTGATAGGCCCTCAGCACCTCAGGCTCCGGCACCATCACCCTCCATGGTTGCACACTTCAACTCACCAACTCACCGCCAGTCAGGAACCCGGGTGTCTTGTTCGACACTCAACTGTCTTTCTCCCCCACATTCAAGCCATGACCCGCTCTGCCTTCCCTCACCTCCGTAACATCGCCCGACTCCGCCACTACCTCACCCCTCAGGCACTGAAACTCTTGTTCGTGCCTTCATCACCTCCAGGCTCGACTATGCAAACCCCCTGCGTGTCGGCCTTCCCAACTCCTCCCTCCACAGGCTGCAGATAATCCAGAACTATGCCGCCCGTGTCCTCTCCCGCACCAAACTCCGTGACCCCATCTCCCCCACTCTCGCCCGACTCCATTGGCTCCCTATCCTTCAGAGGATCCAGTTCAAGATCCTGGTCCTCATATACAAAGCCCTCCATGGCCTCGCCCCACCCCACCTCTGCGACCTCCTAAACCCCTAACAACCCGCCCGTTTCCTCCGCTCAGCGGCTCTGGCTGCTCCACGTCCCCCAACCCACCCACCCGACCATTGCCGGGAGAACCTTCAGCCACTCTGCCCCCAACCTCTGGAACTCCATCCCCCAATCACTCCGCCTCACCCCCTCCTTAGCCTCCTTCAAGTCCCGCCTCAAGACCTTCCTCTTCGACCATTCTATCGGCCACCCCCCTTCCCCTCCCTTGTCCCCCCCTGACCCCAGCTCGGGTCGGAAATGCTGTACACTGTCCAGCGCCTTGGGACGTCCTCCCGACGTGACAGGCTCTATACAAATGTAATCTTGTTGTTGTTGTTGTACTCTCTTAAAAATTGTATGTGTGTGGATGGGTGTGTTTGTGTCTCTCTCTCTTTCAGTCTGTGTGTGTGCCTCTCGGTATATGTGTGTGTGTGTGTCTCCCTCTGGCATTGAATGGTTAATGGTCTAGGCCTCCAGGCACACTCCATTCCTGCTCCCAACAGCAGAGTGTCGTATTTCACAGAAGCCGTCCTCCGTTACACCACACAGGGGGGGCAGAACCAAAACCAAACACTCACACATGTCACCACACACACAGGCTACACGCAGCCCGGGTCACACACAGCCCAGCACAGCACGGCTCCATCATACACACACCTGCACATCACCACCCAGTGTGCACTGTCTACAGCTCCATAGTGAGCGTGTTCTCTACTGTGTATGTTTATCTAATTGAGTACATGTCTCTCTCGCTCTCTTCATCTACCCTCAGAATCAAGGCCTCCTCTGTGACCGTTTCCTGAGCCAGGAGGGTCTGCAGTATTCCAGGCACTGCTGATCGGCCGGACCTGGAAGGGCAGAGCAAGCACTGT